GAAACAGTCGAAATATAGTGACCACTTGATCTTCTCAATTTGGTTTTCATACTTATGCTCCTCAACATTTTTAGCATATGCTATATTTTTCTTCCATCTGAGTTCGTGGAAGAAAAAAGTTCTATAGGATTTACCTTTTCTAAAATCTTAGCAAAGGGCTTCCATACTCATGTAAGATTCTTTCTTATATGCACTCATCATATTGGGTATATGCTCTGTTCACTTGACTTATAAGCCGTATTTTTTCAGCCAACGAACAATATTTTTTCTCACAATAAATCAACCAACAATACTTTTAGCCATGGCTTATCAGCCAAGCGAACAGGGCAATTATCATTTATTTATGTTCTAGGTGAGTCTGCAGCTGCAATACCTACAGATTGTAGTGGAGGCTTACTACCATGCTGCTTAATAGGGTTACATAATTATATATAGATAAAAAGTAAAACTTATTTTATATGATTTAAGATATTTTAGTAATACGAAAGCAAAAAATACATACTTATACCTTTTACTACACATACAGTTTAAATAATAGGCTCTAAAATAGCAGCTCGTGTATGTCAAGTTGTTGCTTGACATGTGATTATGCTAATCTCACTGCTTTAATTAATGGTTAGTTCTTTGCTACTTGTAGTTGGGAAAATACAGGTCACAACCAATTTTTTGGATATGACTTCAGTACCAGCCTCACTATAATGTGCATCCAGAAATATTGGAATAAAAAATATGGTTTTTGCTGTAGTAGATCCTAATTTGACATCTAGAAAGTAATATTGCACTTATACAAGTAGATTTTAGTTATAGAAAGTCCTGCAATGATGCTATTGGGGAAAAAAATAAAATATGAACAGTACACTGGTAGGGTTCCAACCATTGCACAGCGGTTGTTCTGAAGTTTACCGCTTAGTTTCTTTATTAACTCCGTCCTTTCTCCAAATTCATAACCATTTTCATCGGCACATGTCAGATATGCAATGCAAAGAAAATATAGCAAAAGAAAGAAAAATATAACATAAGTATCAAGAAAAGCATGAAGAACTTTAGAACAGGACAAACTATTCATCCAATAAGAAAGACTATTGCTAAGAGAGTACTTAATCTATATAGGTGTAGCTTTGTAGCATGTACAAAACAAAATTTCCAGGTACTACTTATTTTCCATTGAATACAAAGCTCTTGAGAACAAACGTTAACTAGCAGCAGCTAGCAATACACAATATTCACAAACACACTACACTTGTGCACTGTTCATAATCTTGTTGCTGAGATCAGGTGAGAATTCATCTAATGATTTGTTCATGAGCCTGTTTTATACTTCTTAGGTTGATTTAATGCCAATTTTTTGGTTTCTTATCTCTTACACTGCACGTGCATGCGATGGATACACACCATGTACTCAGTGGTTTGTCTATGTGGAATGATCTGCTGACTAATAAACAAACTAAGTAACAAACAAAACAAACATGCATGTCAACAACTAATTATAGTTAGTTTCATTGATATTTATTTTGATCAAGTTATGTAGTAGACCCAAGATACTTTAAGATATTTAATTAATTATAATGTGACTCAAGTAATCTTAGTTCAAAATCCATGTCCACTTCCTCAAAGTGAACACTTCTCGGCGCACAAGATGCCTTCGCTTTGTGTTCATCAGGCTGCTCTTCTACGAATTCGGATGACAAACTTTTTTTTCCTTTGTTCAGTTTTCATCACTCAAGGTCAACTTGTGATTACAGATGCCTCTCATTTCAAATATATCGTGTTTGGGACAAAGTCGGTAGTTGATGCCTTTCGTGAAGGTTTGAAGCACTGCTCCTAGAAATCCAAGGTCAGTGTGTAATGCAGTAAATCCACGCTAATTATTTGACAGAATTGTTGCTTGCTTTATTAATCTTTTATGCTTCTGTGTCATGCAGGAGCAACAGAATTACTGAGCACAACAGTGGGTGCTAAAGAATATTACACTAATGATTTCCAATAGCCACTTTGAATATACTCATATCAATATAAGATTCCTCTAATACCATTTCCTTATACCTTGTTTGTTAAGTTCCCAAAATGTAAACCATGTTGGCATTTGCTAAATTTTAGAAGTTGCACGGGTAATTCATTGCTGCAACTTATCATTTATATTTTATTATGCACAAATAAACGAGAAACAAGAACAAAGCGCATCACATTTTATGAAATATGACTGTGCACTCTATAAGGAAGCTGTAGGCTCTCAATTCAACTGGAAACTTATAATCTGTTATAGATTCATTTTCTTTTCAGTGGACCACATGTGTCATTATAAAATATATATTCAAGAGCTGGGTAAGTTTTATGTTTTTTTTTCACTTGTGGCTTGGCAATTGGCATCAGTTCCTAGATATGTACTGATTTGCATCAAGAGTTTTATAGATGTAATTACTCAATTATAGATAGGAAGTTGCAGGCTCTCAATTCAGCTGAACACTAAATCTATTTAGTTTGTGTTGTCACCTTAGCCGTGCCATCAATTTATTCTTCACTATAAGTCGTGACAATAATTCTTTAAAACTTCACCAAATACTAAATTTCAGATCAACTACATTTGCCCAACTAAAGCTCATGGATTCACATCTTCACAATCTTGTATTGCTCCTTCATTTTTGTGAAAGACTATTATCGTTGATTTATCTTTGTCATGGAATGGAATATATTCCTATCACATTAGACGAGAAGATGTCTAACACCTAGAGCTTTCTATTGAGCTTCAGTGCTCTATAGTTTAACCATAGGCCAATAAAATCACACGGGTTATCAAAGATGAGGTTTTCTAGTGAAAAAGGAACATCGTACCATAAAAGATTTGGTGCCAGAAAGTGGTTTTTGCTGGTGACGGCACCACCAGATGTTTGGGCGACAATGGAGGCACGCAGGAATAAGGACGCTCTGTTTTGGCGAGACAAGTCATTTCCGTACTATGATGATCTGTTTGCTTTATATGATGGTGAGTTGATATGAGCCTGATTAATTATTATTTTCACTGGATGTGATTACAGTACTTAGACAACTCTAAAATATTGTCATATTTTTACAGGTCGTTATGCCGAAGGAAGAAGTTGTCGTGTTATGGATCATTATGCCAATAAGGCTTGCCTTCACAAGTTTCTCCTGATGTGCACCTGCAGTCACCTTCACAAGTTAAGGCAATATTCCGTAGTTGTGCATGCCGAAGGTTGAATAATTCCTTTGGATTTTGTGGTTTTTGACCTGCTCTTCCTTGTTCTTGTAAGTGATATCTAGTTCCACGATATGGAGCAAGAAATTGTGGTGTATTTGCATAGCCTGCATCTACAAGGTAGAATTTACCAGGGGGACACTAAATCCATGGTTAAGTGCATCTTGTAGAACTCTTGCATCAGAAGCAGACCCCTCCCAACTGGCATGGACATGCACAAATTTTAGATCGAAGTCACATGCAACCATCATGTTTTGTGATAGACCTTGCTTTCTGTTTCTATATGGTTCTTGTTTTTCAACAGGAATAGTCATTGGAATATAAGTGCCATTGATAACTCCAACACAGTTCTGTATATATATTAATGATGAAGTCAATATAAAAGGCCCACTTTACATATAGTAAATATAACCAAACTAACATGAAAACGAACTATTTTTGAATTACCTGAAAGTATGGAGAAAATTTGGGCTGCCTTAATATACGATGCGGGTGTGGAGAAGGCAACCATATACAGTGGCATGTGAGTTGTGTAAGTGCATTGAGCACTGCTGCAAAGTGACGGCTAATTGTTTCCCCACTATGTTGGAATTGATCTTGTAATACTCGATTGCTTGCATTTTTTGATACTGCATAAAGGAATATAGCTAATTGCTCTTCCACCGAGACATACCTTGAATCAACAAGTCCTTTTCCACGCAATCTTCGAACCAAAGCACGAAAAATCTCTCTCTCCATATGGAATCGCCTTTGGCATAAGACTGATGTGGCTCCATTCCAGACTGGTGTATGTATGGCTTGCCTTTGTGATGACTGGGATGAACTAGCTTCTTGTAAGGTAGGGAGGACGAAGAGTAAAAGTTCCTCTTCATTTTTTGATCTACACTGGTAGCTTGAATTCATAGAAAGAAATGCTATTGTCGTGATGGATGGATGAGAGAATGACAAAGCTATTATGCTGGACAACACACAATGCAATATGCTACTGCCCCGATAAGCTTATATATATAGCAGGAGCAGCATGGTGCTGTAGCAATGCCAGGGTACCCAAAAAATGCAGACTAGCAACGGCACTTGCAGGGCTGCAACGGATAACTTGCCCAACGACTATTTTCTCATTGCATGGGAAAACGTGAGTGTTCAAAATTTTCGTGCAATCCAAACATCAAACTTCAAGTATTCCTCTGTTTTAGATTACTACGATTTTTCATATATTTTTTTTTCTATTCCTCCGTTTTTTATTTCTGCGTTCCAAACAACCCCGAGTCCAACCCATCCCTTTTAGTCAAAAACCATAGTAAAAAAAAACAAACACAAACTTAAGTGTTTGATAACATGAACTTTGGTAGCGACGCTTTTTTTTCACCGAAGGAGTAGGTGACTTCGTTTTTGACGAAGCGAGTAGCTGCTGGGATCAAACATGTCCTCGTTGCTACAGAAGTGGACTGGAAATTCTTTTGTGCACCGTTGGATTGAACTTGGATGCGTGCTGATGGACCCACCATTCATCGATGCCATCAGGTGCAGTGCAGTGCCCATTTCTCTGCCCCCGACTCTCATTCAGTTGCAACCTCTTCGAGTCTTCGGCTCCTCCGCCTCCCTCGGCCTCCCGTCTCCCCGACTCCTCGACGCTGGTGAACCTGCTGGCGGCTTCCAAAGGAAGGTGAGGTGGTACCCTCCGGGAGATCTCCATTCTTCTCTTCGCACTGCCGCCGCCTGTTCACCCCTTATATTGTGCTATAGCGACTTTGTCCCACAGAGCGCCCCCGCCCGCTGCCTGTTCGACGGAATGCCTGAGGGGCCAGCGGACAAGGAACCGATCAGTTCGGCCGGCGCCGCCGCGGGTGACGCCTTCGCCGCCCACCCGGACGAGATACTGCAGCACGTCCTCTCCTTCCTCCCGGCGCAGCCGGCTGTGCGGACGTGTGTCCTGGCTCGGCGCTGGCGCCAACTCTGGGAGGGCGCGGCGGGCCTGCGCATCACCGCCGCCAATGCGCCCGAGCCGCCGTGCGCCCCGGACGACCTGGTGTCCTCGGGGGAGCTTCGGGAGTTCTTGGACCACCTGCTCCTCCTCCGTGGCGGCGCCCCGCTCGACAATTGCGAGTTCTTGTTCGATGTGCACGATCCGGCACGTCATCCGGTGTCAAGTTCGGCGGCTCATGCTCAGTATCACCCGGGAGAATGATGTCAGGGGCCTTAATTTTCATGTCGACAACCTGCCTTTTATCTCACGGCACCTGCGGAGGCTAGAGCTGTACGACACAAAATTGAATGACAGCTTCCTTGATTTATCAGGCTGTCCGGGACTGGAAGATCAATATATCTACAATGGTGACTTTGTCCATGCCAAGAGGATCTCGTCTAAATCTGTGAAGCACCTGAGTGTCATCGATTCCTGCTTCAATGAGCAGATCCGCACTATAATTGATGTCCCAAGTACTATTTCACTGTGGCTAGAGAACCCATGGGACAGGACTCCTGTGCTTGGGAGCATGCCATTGTTAGCAGTGGCATTTGTCAGATTTGGCACTGATTGTATGTGTTGGATGAGTGCTATAATTCTGAATCTGGGGATTGTGATGATGAGCACTGTCAAGGGTGTTATGGCCTGGAAGGTGATAATTTTAACGGTAGCACTGCCAATGTCGCCAAAAACAAGAAATCTGTGCTTCTGAATGGTTTATCAGGAGCTAAGACTTTTGTCTTGACAGATGAATCCCAAAAGGTATACTTACATTTCATCCTTTAATCCGTTTTATATTACATGTCAATGACTCATTTCTTCAGCAGTATTTATATCGATTGTAGAACATTGATGAATCTCATCTATACAGACATTTGTGTTTTGGATATATTGCCACTAGGTGGGTTCTTAAATCATTATAATTCACTGTAAAGTTTGCTTGATATTTTTTGTTTGTACTTTGTCCAGTTCATTTTCAAACGAGATGTGAAATGGTGCCTCGTGTTCAGAATGTTAAAGACTTTGTTATTAAATGAATATTGGTGTGTGCCTCCTGACTTCTGTGAATTAGCTTGTCTTCTTGAACACTCGCCAGTTCTAGAGAAGCTCACTCTTCAAATTTTGTCCAAGGTACATATATTTTCTGCATGACAACTGCTGCTTACAGTATTTTGTTTCATCTATTTATCTTGATGGAATGTTTTTACCATAGGGACCTGAACATAAGTTTGAAATTATTGGAAGCTACAGTCAGATGGAGGGATCTGCTGCAATATCAGAAAACCTTAAGATTGTTGAAGTCAAATTTGAAGTGGCTGACGAGGGAGTTCTGAAAGTTTTGATCTTCCTGCAAACACTTAACGTAGGTTTTGCTCTCTACATTTCTGCAGTTTGTGATCGTATTTGAAACTAAAGCAAGCTAAAGAAGAATCTCCTGAGTTTGTTAGGAAATTATCAAATAAGAAATAAAAATTGTCTATAAATGCTCTTGATGTTTCTGAAAATATTATCTACAAATCTATGCATGTAGGTGTATTGATAGTGTAGCTTAAAAAAAATAAGTGAGCACAAAATGTCAACTTGTTGTGTATTTCTGAATTATTGATGTGTTGCTTAGTTCTCAATCAGCAACATGTTCGTCCCAAAATGTTGAGATCTTGGTCAATAGAAATAGTTGCCCAAATCAGTTTTTTCCCCTTACATCATGCTTAAATTGTTGTGCATCAAGTTCTACATGTTCATTTCAAGTTTTCTTGCCAAGTGAATCAAATATCTTGTTTCTCATATGTCACCCCTGTTACTTGTGTGTGAACTTATTGTGCTTTTCATATTTGCCTAGATTTCAAATTTGACGAAGAAGAGGAGACTTTGGTAGAAGATGTATCTACTACCTCTTAATTGCATCAAGAAATGGAAGGTTGAATTTGCTCTGGCAAGGGTTCTGATGTTTTCTATGTGAACTTTTCATGTTGCTTCTGCTTGTAATAAACTAGGACTACAACTTAATCGGAATCTATTAGCTGTTTAGGCCATTGAGACTTTCTATGTGAACTTTTCGCTATACTGTGCTATGTTCGGTTTTGGGGTGTTTGGATTCACCTCCTAAACTTTAGTCGCTGTCATATTTGGACACATGTATGGAGTATTAAATATAGACTAATTACGAAACTAAATGCACAGATTGAAACTGTTTTGCGAGACGAATTTTTTAAGCCTAATTAGTCCATGATTTGACAATGTGGTGCTACAGATTAATTAGGTTTAATAAATTCGTCTCGCGGATTATTGATGGATTCTGTAATTTATTTTTTTATTAATATCCGAACACCACATGCGACACCCCATGTGATATCTTCTAAACTTTAGTCTCTGGATCCAAACACCTCCTAAAACTTGTTGATTGTCCTCCTAATGATCTGGGAACACTGTTCGGCAGGACTGAAAAATAAGTTAAAATACTGTTCCGGCTGATTGTTATGAGAGAGAAAATATTATATGGGAACACCGTTCGTGTGAACAGTGCCACTGTGAGAGCGCTGGCCAGCCCAGCCGCAGCTGGCTCACATTAGCAAGTCGGTTCATCGACGAACCTGTACAGTGTGATTTGAATGTGAGACGGCGTGAATTTGAGTTAAGAGTTCCTTCGTTACCACTGAAAGCTATATTAATCCTTTATCAATGTAATAAGGAGTGTTAAGCAAGCAGTAACTCAAACTGAATAACATTTCCATCTGTAACGAAGTACTCCTGCTGCTAGTAACTGAACGTGCCATTGTCCATTTACGCTATACACTGCCTTTGATAAAAAAAACTCTTCTTAAATTTTATTTTGATAAACAAAGTTTTTTTTGAACATCTCTACATACATGTTTCCTTAATGATTCATTCTCTTCCATACCCATACATGTTTCCAAACGTGATGCAGAGTCCAATCCAAGATGAAATGAAAACACAGTGTTTTCATGGTCTGTCACACTCTTCATGCCTGTATAAATTCGAGCAATATGTCCAAACACGGAGTGGAGTTTGATCTTAAGATGAATTGAAATATACAATCATTAAATAAATCTCTAAACCTCACATGCTCATACTAGTTAGAGCAGCACACGTCTAGACATCAGAATGCATATTGTGATCATTGAATTGAATGAATCTCTAAGCCGCGAGTCGAGTGACTATGCAACAAGCTATATTATCCCCTTACAACGGGTGAACATATTTGCTAGTAGATTCTGAAACCTACCAACGGACAGAGAAGCCTGGAACACTTGATCTGGTGTGCCCTGTGAAAGTGCGCCTCCTTATCATATCATATCAGTAAATTGATGATCTTTACAACTCTGCCAACCACAATCGAGCTGCCCAGTTGGGGGCAGCAGAAAAAATGGGCAACAATTTACCCCGCAGGACGGCTGCTCAATCAAAAGGCAACTCCTGTTTACATGAAAATGGTGCTCCGGATCTATCTGCTCGTCAGAGCTCAGCAGGAACGGAAATAGATTACATGTGATTTTGTGAGCAAAAAGTAGCCTGTCTGTGTTGGGGTAGACATGTTACATGATGTTCGAAGTTGGTCAGAACTCAGCATATACGCTTCCTCCAGCCTTTTTAGTTACAAGCTAACAATTCTAGACAGCATGTACGCTTCCTCGAGCTCCCCGGCCAAACCATCGTTAGTTTCCTACACGCGATAGCAGATGTTAGTAAAGCAAAAGGAAAACTCCATTTCAGAGCTAATTTCCATCAAGGATATAACAAAGATGAAAATGAGAGGAAGTATATATGATCTTGATCTCCTAGTCGTAACTTAATAACAAATTTTCATGGTATTAGTGTTTCTTGCTTGACATCAGGTATCATACCCGTAAATTCATCACATTGGTTCTTGTTATGTACTGGTCCAATGCACCATTCCCTCGGAGAATTTTAGCCCCACAACCTGGCCTATCAACAGAACCAATCGCCTCCTCATCCACCACAACAGCGTCTACTCGCTCATTTCCTGTTTTTTCGTCTGGAATCTGCTTAACAGGAGATTCAGAATGTATGGCTCAACTTTGCATCTTATTGTGTAACAGTTCAAGAGGCCTACCTCATACATGGCCTCCAATAGAACAGTTTCCAAGATGGCTCTTAAACCACGAGCACCAGTGCTTTTAGCTATCGCCTTCTTAGCTACCAATCTAAGTGCACCGTCAGTAAAGTGCAACCTAACCTGATGAACCAAAAGGTGTAATATAAGATCAAAAATTGATTGATACAAGAAGATATGCTACAATAATAAGTTTTTGTGGGCTCACTTTGTTCAGGTTAAACATTTTCCTGTATTGTTTGGAAAGTGAATTCTTCGGTTCTGTTAGAACCTGAAAGCAGATAAAATCATTTTAAAGAGATTCAGCATGCAAGAGGCCCTTTTTTATGAAAATCGTGTAAGAGCTGCTTCTCGAGTAATTAGTTTTCATCATTATACCAGCTGAACAAGCTACCTGAACGAGCTGACCTTCATTCAGAGCTGCCAAACTTACTAGAATGGGCAAACGACCAATGAACTCTGGAATTAGACCATATCTAACAAGATCACCACTCTCAACCTGCCAATGCAATTGGATTATCCCGCTAATGAGTATGCAAGGAACAATTATTGAGACATGAAAGACTGTTTCATAGGATTGATGCAAAAGAAATCTAGCATATGCTTACAGATTCTAACAAAGATGAGGTAACCATTGGACAGCTAGCTCCAGAACTTCTCATGTTCGTGCGAACGGGTACCCCAAAACCTATAGATGAATCTTGGCGCCTGATTCATGCCAAAAGCTAGAGTTCAGTTTCTCTGTGGAATTTGTTTGGAATAACCTATCTACACATGAAATCTGCAATACCTTTCAGAAATAGTCTTTTCCAAGTCCACAAAAGCACCACCACATATAAAAAGAATATCTGTCGTGTCTATCTGCAGTATCATGATTCATGAGATTCTGTTACAGGCATGTCGCACTGAAAACAGTGAAGTATCATGATGGATTTACAATGCCCATAATATCTAAGCAAATACAGTGGCAAACATAAACTCCCTCTGTCCTTAAATACAAGGTATCCAAGCGATTTTCAGACATAATAAGAATCCTGGCAACAGACCACCTTGTCCCTCACTAATTAGGATGGAGGGGCCAGTTCAGTTGTTATTTTCCTTAATTACTGAGTGGCTGTTTTCGGTGAAGTCAAGTTTAAAAGGAATCTCAATATTTGCTACCAAAAAAGTCAAAGGAGAGAGGGGGCTGAGGACCCAGAATACTTGTATTTTGGTACAAATTTTGAACTCTAGACCCCTGATATTTTAAAGCGGAGGGAGTATAATATTTATGCCTTGCACATTTTTAACACAACCAGTGTGTTTGTTTTTATCTGGTTGTCAAAAAATGCTTTTGAGGTAACACTTCCTCTGCTCACTATGTACTGTAGTACAGAGTCCTTATGCCATAAAAAAGAACATTTTAAAGAACTTTTTTCATTCAATTGAATCCAAATTTGACCCATATGATATACAGTGCATGTATTCATTAAGGACCATATAGAGTATGTAACCTGTATGCTATCATTGCGAGAATTCTTGCGCGATCCTTTCTCAGGAATACTGACAACCTGCATTAGGAATACGAATAAGTAGGCAACATACAGAGGATCACTGCTGTAGTCACTTGACATGCAGTTAAAGTCAATCAGAGATCCTCATAAAAAAAAATCAATCAAAGATAGCTTCTAAACTCCTAATTCTGCAGCCACAAAATAAAAAGGCAATTGTAGTCACTTACAGTTCCTTCTAGGATTTTCAACAATGCTTGTTGAACACCTTCTCCAGATACATCTCTACTAACATTTGCACTCTCTGCCTGAAACATGGTGCCGTTTAGAAATTTTAAAACTAAATAAGCTACCCAAGAAAACATTCAAAGAATCAGTACCTTCTTTGTTATTTTATCAATTTCATCTATGTACACTATCCCTTGTTGTGCAGCCTGAACATTATACTCAGCAGCCTGAACAAAATTTAGAATGTCATGAGGATCCTGGAATAGTATGTTTTCTTCCCTTTCTTTTTTCCCTATTTGTGAATCTACATGAACAGATAAAAGGCAATTCAACAACTAGAGTAAAGGCACATAATAGCCAGCCACACTTACCACAAGTAATTTTTGCAGTATTGACTCTACATCCTCCCCTACATATCCAGCCTGTATAATAATGCAGCAAATTTTAGTTTTAGTTCCAACTCGAACTCACACATTCTAGTGTAACTGCATATATTCAATTTCTCCATATAGCTTCAATACAATTAATATAGCCACAGGTCCACAACAGCTGAATATGATAAAAAGTAGGAACAGATGCAAATAATAAAGAAAAATG